CCATCGTACAGATCGAATTTGGGCATCTTGAATCCTATTGGCAGTTGAACATCGGGAAATAGACACAGATCCTTGTAAGCCACGCTCACCTGGGCTCCCAGTCCCTACATGTTTCTAAATGACTGCTCCAGGCTTTTAACCTTCTTGAACATCTTCTCATGTTCTGGATTTTTAGGTGGCTTCTCAGTTTCAACAAGGAGGTCGAAATGAGGAGTGTAGGAGTAAGGTTCTAGGGCCTTGAAAGTAGGCTCCGGGGAATAGTATTGGTCATCTTGGGTCTGGAATAAAGGCTCACTGGAGGATTGGTGGAGTGTAGCAGGTGGGGTGCCACGAAAACAGGGGTGACTGGTGGAGGAGGGTATAGAACTCGTTTGGGTGGTGGAGATTGTGGTGTTTGGGAAGTGGTGCCATGGTATTGGTGGTAAATGGGAAAGCTTGGAGATTAATCAATAGTGGGAGGTTCCTGGGATTGAGCCAACGGTGGGATGAAAGTAGGGGTAGGATGGTGGTGGATGCCCTTTCACCTATGACTGGTACATCTTTGTCATCTGTTGTTTCAGTTTATACACTTCCTCTTTCAGATTAACGTCAGCCTCTTCCCCCTCTCTCGACGAATCAATAACACTTGCATCCAGTTCTTGGTTAGTCATGATCAACTTGTCTTTGGACCTGGTGTTGTACGGATGAGTTGCCAGAATGCCAAACAAACTAACCACCTGCCTATACTATTTTTCAACAACAAACTTGTTAGCAATTAGAGCTTAACAAATAGGCAATCGCACATTGGGGATGTAATGCACCTAAGTAGTTAACAATTTCTATTATGCATTTGATCGGTTGCTTGCAGCATCCCGGCTTTCCCTAATTTTCATTTTGCAACTCCTCTCTTTTCCACTCCTGCCTTTCTTTGCTTGATTTCTCGTTGTTCTTTATTCCCTCATTTTCCTCTCTTGTTTTGCCATTGTTTCCTTCCCACCATTTCTTGTTTTCTCTCTCTTCTTTTTCTTCTTTTATCTCTTTTTCTCCTTTTTTTTTCAAAATTTCAGCAGGGTTTCAGTATATTTTGGACATCGGTTTTTCAAAACAGGCAATTATCTCTCTCAGCCCTCACATTGACTTTCTTCTTCTCAACTTTTCTCCTATTATTTGATGAGCCGGTCAACATGCAAATCCAAAGCAAGTGAATGCGCAAGTAGCAAGTAGGATGCATCAGGATGGTCTTTTTATTTCGGGTACACCTGTCCTAGACAGACCCAACCCCTGTGTTGAGTATCCAAAGTCAAATGCACATGATGCAAACGAACATTCCTACTAGGGATCCGGCATGAGGCTTAGTTATTTTAAGTATAAAACCTGGGTATACTATTCTAGACTTGTGCACCCGAGCAGACAACTCGAGCCGAGGAGGGGGCTACGTACCGGGAACCAAAAGGTCATCCGGCTTTGTAACTTGTCCGAGCCTCTTTCTTATTTCAAGGTATGACACTAACAGAATAGGGAGTCACGCCGGTGTGCACATCCCCGAAGATGAGAAGAGAAAGGTTTCGCAGCAGTTTATGTACAGTCCAAATAATATCAAAGCGGTAAAAAGCGGCATTTAGCACATTAGGCCCAAACATGTAATAAAACCATATAATAAATGAAGCCAAATATAACAATTATTCTAAACTCGAATTCTTGAACCCTGAACCATAGATTTTGGGTTCTTATCCCCAGCAGAGTCGCCAGAGCTGTCACACCTCCTTTTTCCTACACCCAGGAAGGGTATAGGGGAGTTTTTTCTAACTTAAAGTGACAATCAAAACGAGATTATTTATTTATTAAATTCAGAGTCGCCACTTGGGATAATTTTATGGTGTCCCAATTCATCGGTTCAAATCTCGAATCGAGGAAAGATTGACTTTGTTTTACAGTCCGCGAACACAGAAATCCGGGTAAGGAATTCTGTTAATCCGGGAGAAGGTGTTAGGCATTCCCGGATTCCGTGGTTCTAGCACGGTTGCTCAACTATTATAATTTGCCTATTATCTGATTTTAATACACTTTTAAACTTATGTGTATTTCGCTTTAAAACCGCTTTTATTCATTTTTAAGAAAGATTGCAATGTCATTTAAAATACGTCTTGAACCACGTCACATAAATGCACCCGCGGTCCTCGGCATGTTTTATCTAACATTGTTGAGATTTGGATTTGGGTCACATAAATGCGCACCCGAGTTTAGGAAGGTAATTTTAAGATAGCGCGCCTAAAGCGACTACGCATTTTCAACTTTGCGAGGGCCATGGAAATTTAACTGAATGGCACGCCTCGATTTCTAAAGATTTGAATATTAATCAAATGAGGGCCATACATTTTTTAGGTTTATTTGGCACAGCACACCTCAAATTAACTACAAGGATCTACTAATTAAATAAGGCTAAAGGAAATCGTAGCTACTTCTAAACTGCAGCAAAATTCAAATTGTAAATCTAAAAGCTAGTACTAGGTGAGGTCTACTCTATTTTTGTTTCAGAACCCGGGCCTAGCCTGAGTCCCGATAGCCAATTGTCATGACAAGCAAGGAAGCATCATTAGGCTCACCATGAAGCCCGGATTAAGAGCCTAACACAAAAGGGGAAGCTTGATGCATATGGATCCCTGTTGATGGCCAACTCAATGCTATTACGTTTGAGAGCATTACACCTTCTATACTATTTTCCACTTTGAACCAAATATTGACACATATTAAATGAATGAAAATCACATTCGGAGACCAATACATGTATTCTATGGCAAAGTGAAACTCCCAGTTGCGTTAATAAGCATTTGCCCAAGATACCCATCATTTGATATCAAAAACATAATGATCATAAACTCATGTAGTATCTGATTCAAACCGGCACATTTAACTGGATCATACTGACTCAAAATTCTCAAAGAAGAGGAGAGAAAACCAAACACGAACTGATTTAAGTTTGGGAATTGTCAGGTCTAAAATCAAACTCAGTTCATTTTCACCTGCCCTTAATGTAAACCTCAGATTTTCAAAGTAACCCCAACCCCAGCTTCCTAGAAGCTTCCTTAGCCTGTTATGCAAGATTCCCTAAGCCAATTTTCCCAAACTACCCCTCAAACCCTTGAAAATTACCCTCAGAAAATCACATGGGTCAAATTGACCCGACTCAATTTAGTATGGGTCTGTGTAACCCAAGTCAATTTCCTTTTTGGGCTTTCTGATTTTCAGGAACCAAATCAATATTGGAAAACCCAAAACTCCCAAGTTTTCAATTTCAGAGCCTTAAAGACTCGAAAAATTTGGGCCCAAAACAAGAACGAAAATCAACCTATCCAGACTTAGAAATAGAACACAAATAATAATCAAACACAACCTAAAACTAATCATGCAAATACAGATGGTGAAAAATGAAAAATGAAAAATCAGAAAATGAAAGAAAGAGTAGAAGAAGATGAGAAAAGAACACAAAAATACCAAAAGGTAAAGAAAAATACCTAAAAATCTCGGACCAATAAGAAATAGGGACTGGTTCTTCGAAATCTTTCAATTTTAGGCTCAATCTGAGATTAGTAGTGTGTTCTTTATCAAAAACACATGAATAAAGTCAAAATGTACCTAAAATCTTCAATGAAATATTGATTTGGAAATTTTGGAATTTTAGGGTTCAACTTTCGATTTAAGATTCGAGCAGTTTCGGGGAGATACGAGAGAAACGGAGTGGGAATTTGGAATGAGGGGATGAAGGGGGTTGTAGGGTGTTATTTTGGGGTAGTTTGGAGGTGGCGTCGCTAGGCAGATGTAGTGGAAAAAGGGCGGCGAGTTAGGGTTCTTGAGGTGAGAGTCTCTGAAGATAGGTGAGAGAGATGAGACGAGGGGGGTGAAGGTTCGGACACTCTTATATTAAAGGGACCCCAGTTCCCATCCGTTGGATTGAATGGAAATCAACGGTTGAGATTTAACCAAAGTAAAACGAGGTCGTTTGGGTTATGGGCGGGGTCGGACCAGATTGGGGTGGGTCTGAGTCAAAAATTGGGCGGGTTTCAGGGGTGCAATTGAATTTGGCTGGTGGGGATTAATTAAACATCCCACTAAGACCTCTTCTTCACTTCCTTTTCTTTTCTTTTTTTTCAATTTAATTTTCTTTTTATTTTTCAAACTCTTTTTAATTTCTTTCAAAAATAAAAATAAAAATAAAACCTAAAATAATTCCTAAATCAAATTAATCCTACCACATTGAATTAATTAACTCTAACTAATAATTACCGTATTTAATTAAAACCAAATTAAAGGAAAAACTACCAAGATTCAAAAACTAAAATTAAAATGTGCAAAAATAAGTTATTTTTTGTGATTTTTCCATTTTTATAAAACAACTAATTTGCTAGTTAATCTGAAAAATGTAAAATTAAATCCGAAATGCAAATGCAACATATTTTTGTATTTTTCATGAAATAAATAAAATAAACGTGCACAGACAAATGCAAACAATCGACAAAAATGTTACAAAATCTACCAAAATTGCAAATAATGGGAGAAATTTATTTTCTTGAATCTATGGGAGTAATTCATATAGGGCAAAAATCACGTGCTCACATTAAGCATTAGTGTAGGCATTGTGTTTATCAAGTAGGCTGCCAATAGCACACATTTGTCCCAAAGATTTAATGGAATATGCCCTTAAAACCTGACTACTCTAGCTACCTCTAATATATATCTGTGTTTTCTTTCAACCACCCCATTCTTCTAGGGTGTGTAGGGGCAGGACCTCTGATGAACTATGTCGAGGCTATTGAACATATTTGTACATTTAGAATTAAGGAATTCTATCCCATTGTCTGTCCTAATCACTTTAATCTTAGTGTTGAACTAAGTTTGAGCCATCGGAAAAAAAATTCTAATAACAACAATTGCATCCGACTTCAACTTTAACAAATAAATCCAGTTACTCTAGAGTGATCATCAACTATTATCGAAAAGTATTTATTTCCATCATGTGTTGCAATTCAAAATGGTCCCCATACATCTATGTGCAACAATTCAAACACACTTTCTATTCTACTACTACTAGTAGGAAAGGGCAATTTTGCTTGTTTGGCTATGGGGCAAATTTCACAGCTATTTATTACACTTCTACATAGTTCTTCAATGACATTCAACACATGCTTCATAACTCTTGATGATGGGTGACCCATTCTTCTATGCCAAAGTTGTAAGGTATTTTGATCTAGCCGCACATTCATAGACTGTGGAACTAACCCTTGTCCTTTACTTGAAGTTGTAGAAGTCAGTAGATAAAGTCCATTAGCTTCTTTACCAATCCCCTTCAGCTTCCCAGTGTAGAGGTCTTGAAGCATACAAAAGCCAGGAAAAAATACAGCTATACATTTCAATTTTATAGTTAGTTTGGATACAGACAATAGATTGTACTTGAAATCTGGGATATACAGTACATTATCTCTTGCCCTTTTCCTATATTGCATTTACCAATATATGAAACTGTTGCTAGTTCTATTAGTAATTGCACTATTTTTCTATTTTGAGATGTTACAGTGTATATATCATAAAGTGAGCTAAAATCTGAGGTCATATGATTAGTCGCGCATGTATCTATGATCCACTCATGAGTGCAACTTGCCTTATCTACTAAACAGACAGTAGAATGAGATATACATGCCATATTAGCTGTAGTCTCCTGCACTTCTTCTTTATTTAGGAGCTTTAGAATCTGATTGAATTGATCCTCTATGAATATATGCTCTATTCCATATCCTAAAGAATTGTCCTTCTCAGCATGACTGGACATGTTAGGTATATTCATGTTGCCCTGCATCTGTGGATTAGCTTCTTCAATCATAACAGAATTAGCTGAACTATATCCTCCACTTCTTTTGTGTTTGAAATCAGCTGTGTAACCTACTATCTTGTAACAGTTCTCCCTAGTGTGCCCTTTCATTTTACAAAAATCACATTGGAGATTGTAATTCTTCTTAGGTCGAAATTGACCACCAGCAGTCCTAGTAGACATCAATGCAACAACTTCATTTTCTTCAGCTGAGTCATGGTGATTGGACATAGCTCTTTGACTCTCATGTTCCATTAACATGGAGTATGCCTTATTCACTGTAAGAAGTGGGATCATCATAAGTATCTGGCTACGAGCTTGTTCATATGACTCACTGAATCCCATCAAGAACTGTAGTAACTTCAAACGTTCCATAAATTCAATAGACTCTCTAGATTCTGCACAGTCGCAGCCCGGAGCTAGGGCCAAACTATCAAACTTTACCCAGAGTAATCGCATCTTCGAAAAATATGAAGAAATTGAGTTAGTTCCTTGGTTAATTGTTGCAATTTCCTATGAATTTGGAAGATTCTCGAACAATCGATCTTATCAAATCGCTCCTTTAGGTCATTCCAAACTTCACTGGCATTTGAGGAATAGACGATGCCACTTTGCAATTCCGGTGAAACACGGTTCATTATCCATGACAAAATGATTGCGTTGCATCACTCCCAAAGATCTACGGGATTTGTACCAAAATTTTCCCTTTTGCATGTGCCATCGATGAACCCTAGCTTATTCTGGCCTAGGATTGCAATTCTCATCGCCTGACTCCATATGGAATAATTTTCCGGTCCTCGTAATTGGAGAGAGATCAATATAGCTCTCGATCTGTCATTTGAATTGAGAAATAGTGGGTGATTGTGGCTCAATTTCTTTGGTAATTTATTGTCGACGACTGCCATGGCTGAGCTCGTCACAGTTCCCCAATGAAGAAATAGAGACGAATTAACAAATAGAAGAATTACTCTAAATGACCACACTTATGACCCATTGGCTTTGATACTGTGTTGAATTTAGCACAGAGAATCAGTAATGGAGGTTTTGAGTTGAAGAGCTTCTTCTTCTTTAATTTTCTTGAGAGAAAATAAATTTACAGTACTGGTAGTTAATCCTACCCTACTGTTATATACCTAACTAACCGACTAACCACTAGGTAGTTACTAACTTCTAGTTATTACACATACACCCATCACTTTAAGTTAACTTTACACTACTACCCTACTTCACTCTTGCTACTCTTAACAATTTGACTGTATTGCCTTTTAGTTTAGTAAGATAGACGATACATTCCAACAATTTGGATGCATTTCTTAATGTTTTTTTTTTAAATTGATTGTAAGTCGATAACGAACCGAATGGGTTTGTTTATAGCAAATTTTGTCCTAATTAAAAGGTAAAATTGTATGGGTCCAAATTTGAACAACTACGACCATTGATAAGTACGACAAACGACGAGATCCTCGTAGCTGGACATCCTACAGGGGACGACCTACAAGCGAACAAGAGACTGTACGACTTTTGTAGCAGTGTAGGCCCATTAGGGGACATTAGGAATATTCGAAAGAATATTCTCTATGATTTGTCTTTTAGGACTTAGAAGGGGTTTGTACCTTATATATATAGAGCGTAAAACAACCTTGTAAGCTCTCTGGGCATTTTTCCTAACTTATAACACTTGCTTACGGAGACGATTGATGTCATTATTGTTAAGGGTTGATCTTGACAACATAAAGAAATCTTATCCTCTGTATTTTCCTTGTATATCTTTTGTTCTAGAGATTATTATACTTAGCTAAGATTTACCCCTTCATTTTCTTTGATTGATTTATTCAAAAAGGTTCAGATATCTTTTGAGTCAAACAATTTGGCGCCATCTGTGGGGATTTCTATAGCTGAGATCTTAGTTTTGTCTAGATCCTTGAAAGAAATAATCACCTCTCTTAGCCTTGTAAAGGCCAACAATGGCAGGAAAGGGAGAAGCAAGATTAAAGGCAATAGTAGGTGTCACGAACAACTTCCTGAATTCACTCAATAAAGCCGGTAGGGAAGACAACGAAAACGCAANCGGCCGTGAAAAGGCTATTATAAGAGTGGTTGACAAACACCTTGAGCAACATGCTCAACAAATCTGTTCAAGGAGATATCGGAGGCACAATACCCGCAGAACCTACAACCGTCGCCGATGAGCCAGAAACTCCACGGACAGGTAACACTCATACTATCATTGATGCAAGTAATGTTGCACTTGCGGCCATCTTAAAGAAAATGGAAGAGATGGAAAATGAGAACAAAACACTCCACGATCAGATGAAAGAGCACCAGGAAAGGGTTGATAAAATACCGGGCGCTCCGAAGTTGCTACCAAAACGTGACGTGGGTCGATTCGTCGAATAGACATAATGGTTGATTATTGGTAGCAGCGACGATACAGTAATCAACCATGTGAAATTCACCACCACACACAAACTCAATCGGACAGTCGCCCACGAATGATATGACAACCTCGAAGATAGTATCATCTTCGATAAGTCGGATACCAACGGTCTGTCTTTCCCTCACTATGATGCTTTGGTTATAACTTTACGCATCGTGGATATCGATGTAAAGAGAATAATGGTGGATGACGGAAGCGGCGCGTGTATTATTCACCCACGAGTCCTCATACAGATAAGGCTCGAGGATAAATTAGTACCGCATTGCATAACACTAACGAGTTTTAATAATGCAGTAGAATGAACCTCTAGAGAGATAGTGCTATCCGTTCTGGCAGGAGGAGTCACCCTGTAAACGACGTTCCACGTCATGAACCAGGAAACAACCTACAACGCCATCATAGGGCATCCATGGATACACGTTATGCGAGTTGTCCCGTCAAGTTTCTACCAAGTAATCAAATTTCCTACCCCATGGAGGATATTCAGCATCCGAGGCGAGCAGCGCACCGCCCAAGAATGCTACCGAATCGCCCAAAATTGCACACACACCCAACAACTAAAGGAGGCAAGTGAGGAAGCATAGCAATCAGCCATATCGGGAACCAAGCCCGACATACAAGTAGAGGCCATCAAAGACTCAAATGTCATAGAAGCCTACAAGGCAACCGTAGAAGACCTCGACCCCGTTCAACTAGACAACACCGATAGCACGAAAAAGGCTTATATCGGACACAACCTCTTAGAACCAAGTAAGTACTATGAGTTCTTAACTAACAACGCCAATTTGTTTGCCTTTTCCCATACAGATATGCCAGGAATCCCAAGGGACATCGCCACACACAGGCTGAATGTCGACCCTCTTTACCCGTCAGTACGACAAATAAAGAGAAAGTTCAATGTCGCCATCAATGAGGCGGTCAACAAAGAAGTTGATAAGTTACTTGCTAATAGTTCTATCCGAGAATCAAAATATCCCCAATGGGTCGCCATCGTGGTCATGGTAAAAAAGAAGAACGGGAAATGGCAGATGTGTGTCGACTTCACCGACCTGAACAAAGCATGCCTGAAAGATTCCTTTCCATTACCACACATCGACCAGCTCATCGATGCAATGGCGGGACACGAATTACTAAGCTTCTTAGACGCTTATTTTGGTTACAACCAAATTCTAATGGCTAAAGAAGACCAAGAGAAAACCACTTTCATCACTCACCGAGGAACATACTGCTACAAAGAAATATCATTCGGACTCAAGAACGTAGGGGCAACGTATCAAAGGTTAGTCACCAAGATGTTCAAAGAACAACTCGGTAAGACCATGAAGGTTACATCGATGACATGCTAGTGAAGTCGAAAAAGAAAGAGGATCACATTGGTCATATGAAGGAAGCCTTTGAGATATTGAGGCAATATGGAATGAAACCGAATCTCGAAAAATGTGCCTTTGACATAACCTCAGGAAAGTTCCTTGGTTTTCTGGTATCATAAAGGGGTATCGAAGTCAACCCGGATCAGATCAAAGCCATCGAAGGAATACCAGAGACATAAACTAGCAAGAAGCAGGTGTAGAAATTAACAGGACGAATAGTCGCCTTGTTGATGTTTATTTCACGATCGTTAGACAGATGCCATAAATTCTTCAATTTGCTAAGGAAAGATCACATACTACAATGGAATTCAGAATGCATCGACGCCTTAAGAAAGCTAAAAGCGTACCTGTCCTCGCCATCACTACTCATCAAGGCAGACCCGAGCAAATGCCTACTGGTGTACCTAGCAGTCTCCGAAGTCGCGGTAAGTGCAGTCTTGATCTGCAAAAACAAAGGTACACAATCTCCGATTTACTATATCATCAAAACCTTAATTGATGCCAAAACAAGGTACCCTCACCTTGAGAAACTAGCTCTGGCAATTGTCGTAGCTTCACGAAAGCTTAGACCATATTTTTAATGTCACCCCATAAAGGCGGTGACAACCTTCCCCCTCAGAGGCATCCTACACAAACCCAAACTATCGGGTAGGTTGGCCAAATTGGCCATAGAATTAAGTGAGCACAATATAACATACCAACCGCGAACTGCTATCAAGTCGCAGGTGCTCGCCGATTTCGTCGCTGAATTCAGTGCAGAAATATTGCCTAAAGTAGAGTAGGAGGCGCTCCGCGCTTCCACACATTCCGACCTTTGGGTCCTCTACACCAATGGTGTATCTAATGCATCGAGATCGGGACTGGGACTCGTCCTTGAAGTTCCTACGGGCGAAGTAATTCGCCAGTCTATACGATGCCCCAAGATGACTAACAACGAGGCCGAGTATGAAGCTGTGATTACAAGATTGAAATTAGCCATCAAATATGGCGCTCGACGACTCGTCCTCCATTACGATTCTCAACTAGTGGTGAACCAAGTCATTGGGACTTTCCAAATCAAAGAACAGAGACTATAAAAGTACTAGTCATAAATTCACAAACTGCTGCCAGAATTCGATTAATGTCGCCTCGACCAAATACCCAGGGCATAGAATATCAAAGCAGATGGTCTCGCCAAGCTAGCGACAGCCACCAGAAATATTAACAAGGAAAACGTGGTCACTCTTCTCCATTCCGCAATAGACCAGGTCAAGGTACATTCTATAAACCTAACTTGGGACGGCGCAACTGTATCGTAACATATTTGTAGGATGGAACGCTCCCACAAGATAAGAAAGAAGCCAAAAATCTTCGAATACAGGCAGCCAGATACAGCCTCGTAAATTGTGATCTTTACAAGAGAATGTTCGGCGGCCCCCTAGCCAAATGTCTTGGGCCAAATCAAACAAGGCGAGTACTAGAAGAAGTACACGAGGGGCACTGCGGTGCCCACACAGGAAACCACACCCTCATCCGATGCCTCATCCACGCCAGATACTACTGGCCAACCATGAAAAAAGAAGCCGCGGATTACGCCAGGAAGTGTGAACAATGTCATACACCAAGCAGGAGAACTCTTGCATTTCGTCACTTCGCTATGGCCATTCATAAAG